CAGGAGCAGGAGGAGGAGGAGGGGGAGGGGGAGGGGGGGAGGAGGAGAGACGGAGGAGGGGGAGGAGGAGGGAAAGGAGGAGGAGGGGGGGGGGGGAGGAGGAGGAGGAGGAGGAGGAGGAGGAGGAGGGAGGAGGAGGAGAGGAGGAGGAGAGGAGGAGGAGGAGGAGGAGGAGGAGAGGACGGGACGAGGAGGAGGAGGAGGAGCAGCCAGGCAGCAGCAGGATCAGGAGCAGGAGCAGGAGCAGGAGCCAGGACTGGGAGGACCCGCTCACCGCCCCCCCGCCCCCCCTGTCGAGGGGCTCGGCCCCGCGCTGCACTGCGGGGCAGAGAGGCAGAAGTTCAGAGGGCGAAAGGTACCCATGCCTCTGCCCTTTCTTCGCTTTCTGTCCGGCCTCCTGGGCTTCCCTCGCCGCCACCGCTGGGCTCGCATCGGAATCTTGGTCAGAAGCCATCCCGGGAGAGGTCCGGGGAGCAGCAGCATCGGTACCTCGTGGTCTCCCCCGGCAGAAGCCAGAGGGCCCCCCACCTCCGAGTCTCAGGCGCCCTCGCGCTGAGCTCGAAGAAACAACATGGCATGCACATAAACTCGTGGCGCTCCGCGCGGATCCAAGAAATCCGCGCGGAGCGCCAAATCTTCCTTTGTCATGCCGCTTTTTCTCCTCGTGCAGAGGGCCCCCACCTCCATTCCCAGGCGCCCGCGCGCGGAGCTCAAGTCAGCACGGACCTGTGCTGCCTCTCTTCGGCACCCGGGGGGCCCTCGCCCGGTCCCGGGGCCGTGCACAGAGCTGCTCGGGGTGACAAGGGCGGTGCTGGGTCGGCTAGACGTAAGAGTGACCTTTCGCCGGAGTGACCTTTGGTGCGGGCCCACTGGGGTCCCCCGATCGCCAAACGCGATGCGGTAGTAGCGTCTCGCGCGTTTGTGTTTGGCCCCCCCGCGGTCCCCCAAAAGCCGCGCAACACAGGTCACTCTTACCCAGGGTCACTCTTGCGTGTAGTTGACTGGGGAATGGGGCGGCCCCGCGCTTTCAGCGGCAGAGGTCAGAGATGCAGGATGCAGTGAGAATGATGCGTTCACAGATTTCCTACATGTCCTGATTCGCACGGGCTCCAGAGACGAGGGCCGCTCGATAGTCTGGAAGCCCTGGAGCGCATCCTGAGCGAATCCTATCACGACATCGCTCTCCTCTTCCAGACCCGCCAATTCTCAGAGAGGAGTGCCGGCTCATCTCCTTCTGGGTTTGATCCTCATGCTGCCTTGTTCTCCGTCCCAGACATGAGGCGACGTGTGATTTGTCCAAAGTCCAGCCCTGAAAGTCCAGATCCCTTCCCCGAGGCTAGCTTGACACCCCAGATCCACGTTTGATGGTCCCGGGGCCCAATGACGGGTCTCAATCGAGAAGAAGCACCCGGATTGGAAGAAGTCGAGATCTGAAGTCGTCGCTCCGCGTCGCCGTGCCGCCCAGGGCGCGGTCTGCCCCGCTGGCCGCTGGCACCACGCTCCTCTTTCGCCAGCCAGTAAAAATGCAGTGAGCGACGGAAGAAAACGGGGTCGTCTCCATGCACACTGGCGCGCAGGCTTCCCGCGCAAGGCCGCGCGTGAGCGCCCTGGTTTCCAGTGCAACGTGCCGCGCTGGCGACTCGCGCATGCCGCGGCGCACGGCCGCCACGTCGTCTCGCGGCAGACCCGCCTCGTTTTGTCCCCCAGCTGTCGCCCAGGGCGTGGCCTTCTGGTCGATGCAGCGGGAGACGAACGCCCCATCGGGTGATGCTGATGTGGTGAGAGGGCGGATGGGAGTGATCGAGATGGCCGTCCTTCCTACCCCCTCCCCCCGGTCTGGACGGGGGGGGAGCTTGGGTCAAATCGGGCATGTCCCTCTACAGGAGGAAAGTGCAAAATTAGTTCAACAATTTGTCTGGGGACGATTCTTCTAGTATGTTTGCTGTTTTGGAGTTTTTCTTACTATTTGAGAATTGTCGCCCCAAAACCCGCCTGTGGGGGGACATGCCCGACCGGAAGCTTGGGGCGTTAGAGCGCCCAAGATGAGCCAAGATGGCTCCGATATGGACTCAGACGTCGAAGTCGGGGCAAAAAACGCACAGGCCGAAAACAACATAACAAAGCAAAGCATAACAGGCTACGCCCACGCCCCGGGCGGCGCACGCAGGCCCCAGACCCTCACCTCCGGGGTGCCTGGGATTTCTTGGGTTTCGGTGGTTTTGCGATGGACAGCGTGACGCTCCCACACTAAACATCAATGGGCGTCCTGGGGTCTCAGGGTTGGGCTTCTTGTGGACGGTCTCTTGTGGTCGGGCCCCTACTGTACTGGCTGTCGTGTCGTGTCGTGTCGTGTCGTTTCGACCAGCGGCGACCCCGCCGCCGGCGTTCAACTTTGAACATTGCCTGCGACCCAGAATCTGCCCATCGTTGAACGATTCGGCGTTTCTGAAGCGGCCGATCGTTCATCGATTTCCGCGGCCAGCGCCAGAGTCGACACGAC